CCGCCATAGCCGCTCCCCGGGCAACGAAGGAGGAGAAACCGGCGTACCATTCTCTTTTCCTTTTTTCCTTTCTATTTTTCTCTCTTTCTCTCTTGCGATCCGCGAGCGAAGATACGTGTTTCTTCCGCGGCGACGTTCTAACCTGCACCAGCTCTCTGCACGAGCTGTCCACTCNNNNAGCGACGCTGTTCGAGTAACATCGAAGGGCAGACGGGTGCCGAGTATCCGTCAGCGGATCATGTGACGCGGACCTGAACACGCTCGACGTTGCCCTTAAACGCGTGTGCCCGATGACAGCGGGCGAAACGGCGCTGCCGACGACGTCGCCCGTGCTACGTCTTCGATTCGCTGCGTGGAACGTGGACGACGACCGGTGCAAGTTGGTGCCAGTGCGCTAACCTCGATTCCGTGGCATCGCGACATCACGAACCTCGCGGACTGCGTTCGCCGCTCGATCGCTAGCTCTCGGTGAGATTACGCCGTGTGCGCGGTAAAGAAAGCAGCGGGTCGCCAAGCTCTCGGACGAGATGCAAAGCTACGATGACACCGGTCATCGTGGAGAAACGACAGCCTGGAATTAGTAATCGGCCAGTATCGACTAACGGTATCGTTTGATGACTCGAAGCGACGCACGAGAACGTGGTCCGCGATGCTGTGATGGTTCGTCGTCACTGCCGAACATGCGTTGCATCGTAAGCCGCTTTCAGCGATCGAGCTTGGTTGCTTGCCTACGATATACGGCTGTCGCAATCGTTCTGGTGACGTGATTCGAAAGGATCGTCCGCTAGGATGGTGGCGAGGGTCGTTGAGATGGGAAATGTTGACGCACGGCATCCGCACGTTTCGCAGACTCGCTGCATCGACGTGTTCGGCCAACCAAGGCCGACGTTCTCGACGAGCTAATTGATTTATATCTTCGGAAAAGCCTGGCCGGTGAGCGATCTCGGCGCTATCGTTGGCTGCTCGGTAACAAAGCGAGAGACGCTCGACGAGATGGTGGAGAGGTCGCGCGAATGAAAGAAGAGAGTATATCGGCAGAGTATCCTTCAAGGGGAACAAAGAAGAGGAACACACGTGTTGCTCGAATGCAAAACAGCTTCTTATACGTGGAGGCTGTCGTTGCGTGCTCGCCGCAGCCAAAAAGTTACGCGAGATTGTGCAACGCGCGAATCGATATCATTCGGCGGAACGTCCGAGACCGATCTGAACAGCTATCGTATTTTACTTCTCGCGCAGAGGATAAAATTCTGGCCTGGTGCGAGTTCTGCGCGCCGCTGGAATGACCTTAACCTTTGGCGTTTCGGGGGAAGAAGCGGTCGAGGGATTAGACGTCGGACAGGGATCGTGGAGAAGCGTGAAAATTCGAGAAAGAATCCCCCTGCGACGTGACGGATCTAATTGAACGTATAACTGTACGCTCTTATCGACGAGCAGTCCGTAAAAGTAAGGGATGGAAGAAAGGATGAGAGGCACGTTGACGCATTGGTGCTGGATCTTTAGGCGAACGATCGCTGCACACGTTTTGTACCGCGACGATTTCTCATCACGTACGTCACTCTGAATCTCATCGACCAACATAGTGATTCGAGCGCCGCCGAATCGTAACGCAATTACCAAGTGTCTTCTAAACGATAAGCATCGATCATCGACATCGAACGAATCTCTCCTTATTGAGAAGCGCGTCGCACCACGGAATACTTATACCGAATATTTCAACAGCGACTTATTCGATCGAATACGATCGGCAAAACATTTTCCACAACCGCATACACGTAGAGCGAGCGGACGCGCGAATAACTAGGTTCTTCTCACGAACGACAAACGTACGAGCCCCCGGTATCGTCCAAGTTTCATCAGCAACGGCCAACGTCGAAGACGCTCTTTGTAAACGAGTGCAGTCAGCGTCGCATACAAACAGCTCATTTGCATTCTAACGATACGCAAACATGGCCGGACGGTTCGCCTCGGTTTGGAACGCAAGTCGGCGATAGTTTGATCGTTTCGGCAAGATCGGTAGCGCTGAAACGTGCTGCACGTTCCGCGACTTTGGACACTGTGCTTCGGACTAAAGCGTGGATCGGTGGTGTCTGGCGATCGTGTCGAGTCATCGTGTTGGGCCTGCGATGAGTTCGGTTCAAGGATAAACTCAACTTGTTGCGAGAGAACACACGTACACGAGGTGGGTGGTGGAGGAGGAGTAGATGCGTGTGGAAGTGTGTCTTGGCGTGAGGCGACGCTTTGGTGCGAATGTGTGTCGGCTGGTGTGGTCGTTGGTGTCGCTGCTGATGGTTGCATCGCAGCCAGCCGTAAAGGAATACGCTATTTCGCGCGAGTGTCGGTACCGTGGCGTCGTGGAGGTGTCGTTGCTCGGTCGACCGGTGTCGATTCCCTCGATGATCGATCGACGACGCGGCCTCCGTTTCTTTCGATCGATTTCGCGACCGTGTTGTATCGAGCGGCCTGGTCGTTCTCGCTCGTCCGTACTTTCAACCGCGTCGCACACGAGATGAGCAACGGGAGCAACGTGCTCGTCGAGCATCGGTGTTGGTGAGTACGGTCAGATGTATGGCGTTCCTCTGCCTCTCCATCCATGTGTGTTGTATGTGCGTGTGTGCGCGCGCGACTCTCGGTCTGTATGATTTACGTGTGCATGATCTACGTGTGTAGGTGTGCGGAGCCGTGGGTGCGCGCACGATAGGATGGTTAGGTACTTAGTAGCTCGTTACTGCCACCGAACTACCATCGAAGTAGTTTAATCCAACGACGTCGCTGCGTGTTGTATTAATGTCCTGCTATTAAACGGCACTAACTCTTTTGAGACAGACCGCTGCAACTAGCGCGCAAGCACACGCGTCTTTTTCCCTATCGATAATTGGCTCTTCCGATTTGCTCGCGGGTGATATCTTTCTAAATCAATGGTTATTGTTTTCTATAGGATGAGGTAGGTCAGTCGCGACGTGTATTTAAAGACTACACGGGAAAAAACATGATAATCCAGTTTGTTGGTTTTCTAACTTCTATGCTTTTATTCATATATCGACTGCAGGATCTGTGCAGAAGCTAAGGCCCGAGGCTGGGTATTTTTCATAGAGTACGATATTGAAAGAGCGGCGTGCGAGCAAATATGAATAACTCTTTTGTATAATGCGTTTACCCGACACTTTGTGCACATCGTATCAAAACATTAAAATATTTATTTAGAGTCCGGCGGTGTGACTCTGTACGCATTCGATGGGAACTTGTAATTCGTTGTTTGAGTTGGAATATTTCGTTCGTATACTTTTCAGTATTTTCTAAAGAATTTTGGAGATATCAAGACCCTCTTTTATTTTCTTTTTTATTTATATCGTAATGTTGCAGTCTTTGAGAGAATACAGGACATAAGTGCACGCAGATAGATTTGGCTTGGCGAGTAAGAACTTTTTTAATTATTTTTCGTAATTACGTTAGCTTAGCTTTTCGGTTCGTTTTGAGTGAAAATTCACTTTTACTCGTATCTAGTTGAGAAATCCATTAGACGTTAATATATTTCCTGTTATGGCCGTGAGATTTTGTCAACTGCCAGAAATCGATGGAAAAGCAAAATTATATTCGGTAAAAGAGAAGCGACAAAAAGTAGGTTCTGCCATGTATATGCATTGAAACTTTAAGCCAGTCTCTTTAGGAGACGAATCCTTTTATATTCGGATTTTGTTTCTCGGCTTTGGTTTATGTTTGTGATACTCGAGAAGAAAAATGCAGATGAGAAAAATACATAGAGAAAGAAGGGAAGTAAACAAAATACGTAGAAAGAAGAAAGTAAAATGCAATATCGTACGAAATGCGAGTACATCGAAGAAATTTTTAAAAAGTTTCATTTAAAAATTGCAACACGATAGGTACAATTAGAAAGAATATAACGTGATATTATCATAGCATAGATGCTGTTGATATTACAATGTCCAGTCGCAACGCGGTATTCCGATATATGTCGAAGTTATCTCTGTTCCCAAGTTTTACGTTTTCCACGAAAAACATTGTAAAAGTTTTTTGGTCGTCTCGCATGTGACGTTTGATCCTCTCTAACTGTATCGTTATACTCGCTCTTGGCGGAATTTTTAACTCTCGTCATCTATGTACACGCTTCTTTCGTAACAATAATTTTCAAGTTTCGAACAAAACGCAAAGATTCTTTGGTATAAAAAGTAACACAAATGAATTCCTCCTCGTAAACTGGTTAGATGTATAATGTCTGTGGATATTGCGATTTCAATGATTTAGTAATTAATACTATTGTTACTCATGTAGGAGGCATAACGAATATAACGAATATTTAACGCGTAATACAACACGAACGTAACAAATTCCCAAATCTCCTGCGTTGTAGGCAATAGGATATTTTATTCAAACAGATTGTTTTCGTTGCACCATATCGTTCATTATTTTGTAGCTGTATTTTAGGCAGGAATAACAGCTTCAATAATTTTGTGTAATTTTATTCTATAAATAATAGACACGCGTGTATTATCTGCCGTAATATTTTTCAGATGTTAATCACTCTTGGCACGTTTCTTTTAATTAATTATTTATAGATGCATCCACTATTCTAATAGGATATCGGCGAATTAATTGCAATGATCGGTCGAGTTTCGTCATTTTTGCGAAAGATTCGTTTGCCTTAGCGTTGTCGACGTCCGGTCAAGCGAAATAAAATTAACCATAAAATTATTTAATTAGAAAGTGAGATTAAAAACTAGGATCAAACAGCATCAAACAGCCGAAGATTAAAAAATAAGTAAGATTAAATGATCGAAAAGGAAGAATTAGATAAAATGGAAGATCTCCTTCAGTCGCTGGAGCAGATATTAAGATTTTCCCCTGTCACAGTGTTCGTTTGTGCGAATGCTGGTATTGCATTTTATCGGATTTTGTGCAATTACAGGATCGGCGAGTGGGGGCAAACTGCGGATAGAGAGCGAGACGAATTAAATTTACGAGTGTCTAGCAAATATGATTGGGGTGATAAACTATAGAAAAACACAGGGTTCCGCCCATATGTGCGACGTTTATGTGACGATATTTGAGGCACGTGGCAGAATCGTAAAAATGGGGGCGCCAGTTTTAGTATTACCTATTCAGAACAAGGGGAAAGACGTCGAACCCCTAAAATTTGTAATTTATAGCCTGTTTGGTTATTTTATTTGCTCAGATAGGCTTGCCTCAAGTTTTATTTCTTTCCTTGCAAAATTTATAACTTTGGTTATTCGCAGGTGTTAAAAAATTTACTCGATCTAATGTTATTCCATGCACAGCTTTATATTTTATCATAAATCCACTATACGGTCCACTATAAATTAGTTGTAGAATCGTTAGACCTAGTACCTGTTTCCTCGTTGATTCACGAGGATAATTACACTTGGACGTTCTGATTGGAAATCATTTCGATCCTTTTCTGCTGCTTGCCGCACTGTGCAAAAGGGCGAAGTCGAGTCTCAAACTTCCACTTTGTTACGAGCATGTTAGAGAAAGATTTGTTCACAACGCTTTAATTTTTACTTTTACTAGGATAGGACTTTTTGTAGTTTTTTTCTTCTTTTTTTGAGGAATGTTTAGCAACGGGAGTTGAGGAGAATTGCTTTACACGAAAAATTTGCGACTTTGGTTGATTTATGGAAATAAGGGTAAACTTGCGTAATAAAGTAGAGCTTTCGTCTATATTTTATCGTGCATGTAATACTTCACTTCCGCACAGAGTTGTCTTAAAACAATTATTTTCTAGTTGGATGATTTCCCCCGTTAGTTGACATATTCGTGAAATTTTTCTCGCTTACAGAATTCATTGACAAAACGTTATCGTTCTTTCGTAACTTTTACTTGTTATCGAGCTTTACGTTAATCCATACGTTAAACGAATTTGGGGGAATCGTAATCTATTTTGAAACTATCGCGTATTTCATGAAACTTGCGCACAGCACTTACAGTGAAATCCAGCGAGTTTAGACTCGGTTGAGTACACATGCATCGAAAAGATTTTCAAACTCGATTTTCTCGAAACTTAAATCTCAGATGAACAAGTATCTTTCTTTTCGAGTTATTTTTACAATGAATTTACAATCTTCGATGATTTCATGACGAAGAAAATAGTTTGTGATTTTGACGTCACGGTGAGCTAAAAATATAACTAGAAATGAAATTAAACTAACAGAATATGGATATTAGCGTGTAATTTGAAAGTTAGGCGGCGTTCTAGAAGACCAATTACATGACTTGTGTCCGCAAGTACCAACTATTCGCAAATTCAACGATAGCAGATTGCTCTCGTCAAAAACGTCGGAATAATTCTTAAGAGAAAACTTCGCGTGTACCACGGCTAGTTAAATGAAAGTTGAAATTGAAATGAAATTAAAGTAACAGAATATGGATATTAGCGTGTAACTTGAAAGTTAGGCGGCGTTGTAGCATACTAATTGCATGACTTGTATCTGAAAGTACAAACTATTGGCAAATTTAACGTTAGCAGACACTGTATCGATTTCTCTCACCAAAACTGCCAGCGTCGGAGAATAATGCTTCAGAGGAAACTTTTCACGTGCCGGGAAAAATTCTGCCTGGCAATCTGAGCAATCTGAGCGACGTGCAAGGTGTCTATTACTCGCGTAACGGAATTTCGCGGAGGTATCCCGATCGGAGAACGAATGTGCCCGTAAAGTGAAATCAAGTGGCTTATTAATCTCGCATAAAGCGCGGCCGAGGAATCGCTGCTCCAACCGGAAGGAAATTCGATCGGCTGCGGCGGAAGTTGTAGCGCAGGAACCTGCTCTTTAGTCGCAGCCGCATTTCATCCGTGAAGAATCGCTTGGATTATCGTTGCTGGATTGCTTACTGCGAGATGCCCCAACTATCGGGAAAGCGAACGTCGATGGAACGTGACAGGGTATGCAGTAAAAATTCAGGCAAATTTATTAGAAACGATGGCGAAGATCTCGAAAGAGATACCGAGAGAGATTGCAGGATTGAATGAAGCTAGGTCAATCGTAAAAATTCGGATTAGTCGGAAGACGTATTAGAAATAGAAGTTTGAATAATATCGTTTCCCCTGTGAATATTGTTGCGTCAATCGCGTGATCCGCATCGGACGACCTAAAACAAACTTCTTTTTAACGACGAACTTGCTTTTATTTTTGTATCACGTTTAAACGTTTGGAATGAAAAGACCCAAGAATGATATTTACATAGAGAGTTTCATAACTCAGTCGCAGAAAAGTCCTGAGCTTTCCAAAAGTTATAATTGAATGCATATGTCAGTGATGAAAGTACGCAGGGATTTGAAACACATTTCAAACTTTCAAAAACTCGAGTTTATATAACATGGTTTAGAGATGTATGCGATTGTACGAATTGTCTTACATAGAAATTATATTATATATTATTACGTTGCAAAAATATCGTTCAAGATATTTTTATTATATTTTCTATTGTGTTTATTGTGCTGATGTTTATTGTGCGATTCGACTTGGACAGATTTTTGCGAAAAACTCGAAGATACAAATATGCACAAAATATTAAGA